CATATTTTATAAAATAAGTTTAAACATCCACTACTAATAGAGGAGACTGAAAAGACTTTGAAGACTTAGCACAACACTACTTATAAATTGTATCCAGCTATAATGGGTATTAGTGATATGCTCAACATTGTCAGAGTTTTGTGGTCGTTTTGTCACAGTTGTCTATCGCATATCCCGACCGAGACGGCGGCATGTTTGCTGCAGATTATGTGGCAGGCGCACCTCACCACCAAATAGAGCTATAGCCTTATTCTGCGTTTTCACCCTCGTAGCGAGAAGCAGGTAGCCACCATACCAGCCCCAGTTCACCGGCCTTGACCTCGCATCCTTCAACTGCACCCAGCTGGTGTGCAACGCCATCAGGAGCTTCACCGGAGAGAAGCGGACAGCAGTCGTTCATCGGCAACCCGCGAGTCACGAGTTCACCACCTGTTAACGAAAACGGCATTAGGATAAAAGCTGTCGGGAAAAGAAGGGGGCATGCACTCTGCCATCAGCATGCACGTGCAAAATCAACTGAAAACTGTGTGCCGCAAAAGGAAAGCCCGAATACAGCTGCATATGGAGAATCTGAAACAGACGAAAGTATCATTATGCAATCCTTTGGATGTTGACTAAAAAAAGTAATCGCGATAATTTTGTGCGAGCAACATAAGTTGCAAGTTGCAACTTATTCTAATGTGTGGAAAATACAGCAGTAGGCCTAACAATAGGACCAAACAAATTTTCAAAAACTGATTTATTCAGACAGGTTTCTATAATGCCGGATTCTGAAATGATTACGGAGTTCACATTTGCGAGTGAAACGAAGATAACAAAGAGCACATGCGTATGGTTTTTCACCAGTATCAATCCTAATGTTAACGAGGTTGCAGTTCCCCTGCTTTGAGTGCTTCACGTTCGAACCCTCCTTCACGGCCCCAGGACCAACGTGATCTTTATTCTCGTGGACAGCAACAGGGGGCTGCTGGCTGACCTCACCGCCACGACCCTCACTGCTGGTTGCTAGCGACGCTGCTAGCGACGCTGCTAGCAAGTTTCGAGCGCCTTCCGTGTAGCTTCGGGCAGATGCGGCTGCTCGCCCTTGACTTCGTGTCCATTTGCCATCCGGTTCATTGTCGTCGGCGGTCTCGACATCGTCGGCAGAGTCCTCCTTCTTCAAGAACGGCTTGGTGTCGCCGGTCTCGACCTGCTCAACACCGTCCGCAGGGTAGTCCTCCTTGAAGAGCGGCTTGGTGTCGCCGACCTCGACGAACTGCTGCCCTGCACCGTCAGCGGGGTCCTCCTCAAAGAACGGCTTGGTGTCGCCGGCCGCAACGGACCGTTCAGCACCTTCAGCGGCGCCCTTTTCATCAAGGAACGGTTTGGTGTCGCCGGCCTCGTCGACCTTCTCAGCAGCTTCAGCGGGGTCCTCCCGCTTAAACGGCGTGGTGAGCGGCGAGCGGCAGCCTGGACCTGGAGAGGTCCGGAACGCATTGCCTGCCAACAGCGATATCAGCACATTAGAGCTACCTGAACTGCACTGGTTTGATAGACCTCTGCCACTTCCACACCAGCCACCACTACGCCATAAGCATGGACATGCAGATCTACGAACCTGAAACAGAGAAGGATATTAGAAAATGTAAAGATATAACGTATGATATGGTTAAAAACACAGTGTCAGAAGGCCGGGAAAATAGGGAATACGCATGTTCATATCTTTAATCTATATTGTGGGACAATGATTGTAAAGTTAGCACTTGATGCATGGTTTAGGAGTATTGTATACGAGAGACATGCCTACAAAAAGAATAATTGCTGGAATTGAATCAAATGATTACTTGTATAAAACAAAGCTGTAATTAAGATTAAATATTTCGGCACAGCGGGTATTACGTCTGGGACAGATACATCACCAAAGTTGTCTCTAAATAATATGCGTTCTGACATGAGTTACAAGGTATTGTTTGGCGATGAATCGTTGTTTACAAATTACACATTCATGTAAATTGTCACCAGTGAGACAGTAAGTATTGTGTTTGTCAAGGGACGCTTTAGAAGAAAATAACTTATTGCAAAGGTCACATTGAAATCGTCTGAAGTGGACAGCGTAGTGAAGACGCAAGTGCCTCTCTAAAATCGAAGTGGTACGGAACTTCTTCTCACACACACTGCAAGAGTATAGTTTGCATCTTGTATTCCTTCGAAGAGAAATCTTCTTGTCCTTCACGTTGGCTCTCTCTACCCGCGCGGGTTGGCGATTAACGACTGCTGTGACCGGCGAGCGGTAGTCTGGTCCTGGCGGGGTCCGGAACGCATTGCCTGCCAACAGCGACATCATTACATTAGAGCTGCTTATTGGATTGCACAGGTTTGATGGACCGCCACAACTACCGCCCACTACGCCAAAAGCATGAATGTATACGACACCAGTTTTCAAAAGTGCATAACCTCGCTACGAAAAGCGTAGACGTTGAATTGGGAGGCTGCAACCTGCAACAGAAAAGGAAATTAGCGAATGTTAGGATATGGACGTCTGATATGTAAAAGCACTTAATGCCAGAATGCCGGGAAAA